TAAAGATCATCTAGTTCCAACCCCCCTGCCATAGGCAGGGACACCTTCCACTAGACCAGGTTGCTCAAAGCCACATCCAGCCTGGCCTTGAAGACATCCAGGGATGGGGCATCCACAACATCTCTGGGCAACCTGTTCCAGTGCCTCACCACCCTCTCTGTGAAGAATTTCTTCCTGACATCTAATCTAAACCTCCCTGTAGAAGGAGCCAGGTTAAAAAAGGAGGTGAAACTCTTCCAGTAGAAACTGTAGGTGCTAAAGACGTACACTGGTTAAATGGTCTGATGCTGTATGACTTCACTTCTGTTCTTGCATGCATAGGATCACTGAAGCAGACCGTAGCTGAGATTTAGAACTGTTTCAGATGAGTACATATTCTCTTATGCTAGCTTGTGTAGCTACTATTCTTAGCTGTTCTCACGCAGCTACCATTGACTCTGTGTGATCTTCAGGAAAAAAATACTGCCGGCAACACTTCCAAGCATATGCATTTACAAATTATGTCCCCTCAAATATAATTAAGTTTTTAGTTGTGCAAAATATAGGTTAAATACTGAAAAACAGGCACTGTGTTTGAATTAGTATCTAAATTTAAATTCCTCATCTTACAAAAATTCTGGGCCAGAACTTACATATTTCAATTAAAATCCCATGTCTATTTTAATCAGCGCAAAATTGCAGAAGTTAAAACAGAAGGAATTAAGTTCTGCAGAAAGATTATTTTACTGGCTTTCATGCCAGTAGCCCGAAACACACTATCCAGAGTTTTCAGTGGGCACATATGTAGGAAGGTAAGTACACAGACAGTAAAAAAATGAAGAACTAGTGTGTTAGTATTTTTTCTGCCTCACTAAATAAGTTTTCTTCATTAAACAAAATTTGTTAGACAAATCTGGGGCAGTTATACAAGCACTGACTTCTTTTGGTGCAACTAGCAGCCTTTCCAGGATGTTTAATGTGAGGGCTACAAACCCTCAATCCAAACTTAGCACAGCAAACTCTTTCCTCTGCTCACAGAGGAGCCCGAGGGATTTCGGCCATACCAACAACAGATACACTTCTGAGTAGCAAAACCCTTCCAGCTCTTGGATGGCGTAGTAAGTTTCTCACTTTTCACTGCTGCCATTTGATTATAAAGCTGCATGGAGTAAGTTGGTTTCTGGTGCTTTCACATCTTTAAAAGAACCTCTCCTCCTCTTCCCAGACCCCAGGTCCTCAGCCTGCAAAGGCCAGCCAAGTGCCCCAGGCCTGTCCTTGCAGCCTGAGCCCAGCCCTGGATGGCAGAACCACACCATTTTTCCCCACATTCAAGGTCTTCCCAGAACACAGAAGGGTACCACTACACCCTGAGTGCCACCCCCAACTGCCAAAGCTTCAGGTAAGTGCCTTTCTGTTCCCACCTTCGGTGCAGGCACGTTCCTTCCACACACCAAGTCCATTAACCATCACCCACCTCCTCCACTTTGGCCAGTGTACACTCACACCCCCCTCATTTCACCCAAGCGTGCACAAAACAATTAATCCCGCTGCTTTATAGAGCAGAAGAAGCAGAAGCTGCTGAGATCAAGTCGATGCTTCGCTGTTTTGTAATAAGCACACTCTGCAAAAAGAGTGTGCTTCAGCACCACTGTCAGGCCTCGGATTAAAACTGGCTTAAAAAGTATGTTGCTTTCCCTGGACTAGGTCCTATCCCCCACTAATATCACAACTTTCAATCAGCTTGAACAAGGCTTAATTGGCCTTTTTGGTTTTGTAAGCTTCTCCTGCAGCAGTTTTCTGAATAGAGAAACATCTCCTCAGACAGCAGCCAAACAGCTGTTCTAGCACCTAGGTTGCATCCAGGGAATTTTTATAGCCATGCAACTTGCACAACACCCCCTTAAGAACATTTCAGGAAGTTGTCAGAGTTCCATATTCAGTTTTTAAGCTAAATCCTAGGAAAGCTCAGCTGAGGGTCAGTCTCTAAACCTGCAAATGCTTAGAACAAGTGGAGCTAGCAAAACCAGACCCAGATCTTGCCAGATGCAAACTGAAGCAGCTCTAACAGCAGAGCCTGATTGCTTTAGATGCTGTTAGCTTTCAAGAGAAACAGCAGGAAATCCATGAGCACATTCCCATCTAACATCTTCTATCTGTTAACAAACACACAGCTCCAATGCCAAGGTAAAGTGCACTCCATGGCATCCTTCCTGGGCTCGGGGGGGACCAGCGAGACTGCTGCAGTCGCCCAAACCAGCTTCCTCTGCACAGCCCTCATTACCACACCAGGAAGGCTAAGGGAAAAAAAAAGTTGCCTTTTTTCCACTGTCTGCTGCTTTTGGCACTGAAGGAACACCTGACTGAATGGGCTGCTTTGTTACGACACAGCACTGCTATTCTGATCTCCCCAAAGACGTGAAACAATGCTGTTTTCACTAAATCAGAGCAGCTACTAATTCAGGTTTATGAGTAAGCACCTACACGTCTTTCTTGAGATTTGCTTTGTTCAAAAGACAAGAGCTAATAACGTTGTCTACCGTTGCTTCAGAGCCTAATCTATGCATACCAAGTTCCGCACAAATATCAATAGAAGCACTTGTTACCAGCAGCAGTTGATCTCGAGCCTTGCTGTACGAAGCAGGAATTAGCACTTGGCACAATTACATCCTCATCACACACACACACCTGGCTTCTCGTGTTTGAAGTGGCACTCAGCACAGGCCAGCGCTTCACGGGTAGTGACTACAAACCACCAGGATCCTGTGGAGGTAGTCGAATGGAGATGTTGCCCATCACTTCCACATGGGATCATCAGTGACAATTTGATCCAGCAAAGCGACACCAATAAAGCAAAACCATTTGGTAGATCTTTGCTCCTCCACTAACAATGGCTAAATAATATTCGCCAGAAAACCCAATCTTATTTCCATGGTTGTCACCAACTTGAACAGGAAGAACAGCACATAACACAAGATCCTCCCCAAAGATTTAACAGCAGTCTTACTCTGGAAAGGTATTAAAAGAGTAATAACTTTTTGCTTTGAAAATATACAGAAAATACATGGGGTGGGTTTGGGGTATTGCTGCAACATACACTTACAACAAATGCAAAATTCAATTACATCCTACACAACAGCAAAGAGGCAATAAGAACGAGTCTTCTTTTTTCTACCTGCATCATGCAGAAAAAACTTCGTAACACCAATATTGGTGGTTCTGACAGGAGCTGCAAGCCATCTTTTTCTGATTTACCAACTGTAAAATGACAAACAACCCTTATGCTTTCTTCAGCCCTGCTGCTGAGAGCATGTCTCACCCACCCCAAGGACATGCCAGGATCCTGCCAGCATCCAAAAAGAGCAGAAGCGTTTTGGTACCCAGATAATATTTTAGGGCTAAGGAAATATTAACTAGAAGAGTTTTATACCTTCTTAGTAAGACTGTGTCTTCTGGCTGCTTTGTGTTTTGGCACGCAGCAAGCCCAGCTTTGCATGACTAGGTTGTTAAAAGGGCAGATCAGTGCCGCCCTCTGATTACAAGGAGGGGGGAAGCTCAGGCAGAACCATGCCTTTCGTCTTTTCTCACCGCACAATGCCCGTTTCTGCGAGCCAGGTGGCCAGTGGGCAGACAGCACCGATGGAAGAGCAGAGACTGAAGCCTCGGGACCTTGCAGCAGCTGTGGGAAACCACTGCCTATTAAATCTTATTCTACTTTAACCACCACACTGTTTGGAACATCTCAGGAACACAATCAAAATATATCCTTCATGGGGTCCAGGGAACCAAGCACTTTGACTGATAATTCCCATGTCATTTGACCCTGTAGAATTTGTAATCCAGCACCTAATAGCTGCAAGCAGAAAATAAATATTGATCTGTAACTCTCCCCTTCGTTATGAGAAAATTATCAGAGCAGCAGGATTCCCATCATCACCCAAGTTAGGCAACACTTTCATAAATTATTATTGCTTGCAAACGTCACTAAATATTGCCAGATACCAAACTGATGCACCTCACACAGGTACCATTACTCCATCAGCCCACTTTCCCCCTGCTCCCACACCTCTTTTTACAGCAACACAGCTGACTCTAGGAGGCTATCAGAACCACAGCTCACCCCTAAGTCCGCCCAAAGTAGGTTAGAGGCACTATTTTTCCCACCCTACCTGACAGAGGATATCTTTGATATATGTTCCACACAGCTTGTGCCCCCGGGGATCAATATAATCCATGATGTCCCAGTATTTTGCTGCAATGCTGTTGTCTCTCTCCTGGTCACAGCAGCCGAAATTGTCATAGGCAGAGCAGAACTCCAGGTGAAAAGGGGGCTGGAAAGGTGGCCTGTAATCCAGACACTGAGGATGCCCCAGCAGACTGCCTATCAGGCACAACAAGGAGAGGCAAAGAAAGACACGTGGGAGGGAAAAAGGAACTCCAGAACTGCTGCTGCTGCTCCTTCCAGTGCATGGCCAAACATTCCCAGCCTTCAGCACAGGTTTCTTGAGGTCAGATGTATAGAAATCCTGGACGACTTCGTGGTACGGTTCATTCATCCTCTCTGCTTTAGTAATTGCCAGCCCCAGAGCTCAGCAGCCACTCAGGTTTGCTTACATTCTCTCTCCCTTTTTCCCTCTGAAGTTTATTACTTGGCAGGACAGAAACAACCCTCTGGGCTGCCTCTTTGGTATTTCACACGTCACACAGCTGAACCCTCCCCTCCAGACATTTCTCATGCCCCCAAGAAGCACTCACAAATCGAATCCCTACATCTTAGTTTAAGAAAGCCTTCACCGAGAAATATGCAGTACAAAAAATATGAAGTACAACCCCTATATACAGAACCTGGTGATCTCTCCCCATTTACAAAACACAGGTGTGTAATTTTCAATTGCTAACTACCATTTTACTCAGCTTTTAACATGCACCAAACCTGGGTCTGGTTTCATACAGACTGAACAGGGGTCATAAAATACAACCAAATTAAGGTTGTATTAACCTTAATTAAGCAGTTAACCATAGGTACAAGTAATTTCAGGACAAAAAGATTCTGCTGTTACACACAAATCCAGGTATAAATTCAGGCTTAAAGCGAGTGGAAATTCAGGAGGAGGGAAGGAGAGTACACACAGTTGGGGCACCAGCACAACCTGATGATGACTGTGATAGTCTGTGGTAACCCTGAAATTAAGCTAATTGATTTTAGTGGGTTTGATCCTAGCTGACATTAAACAGATTTAAAGACCCATGAGATTTTGGCCCACCTTCCCCCCCCCCTTCTTTCTTGCCGCTTTACCTCCATGGGACACAGGCAGAGGGCGAGGACAGCTGCAGGGAGGATCTCACTCCCACTCTTCTCCCTCTCCCCACGCATCACCAGTTATTCCCAGGATCTATCTGCATGTAGCTCAGGGAGAAGTTAAAGCTCCCAGTCCTAGCTTCTCAGTACAACTACCGGTGTAACACCTGAAAACGCCCTGATTACAGATCTCCTCAGAGCCTTTACTGGGAAATGGGGGTTTTCAAATACCACCTCTGGGGTTTTGACCATTTTTAACCTGTTTTGCTGTGGCTCTGACTTGTGGCACCTTGACTGTACTGCAGCCTGCCAGTAATCCTGCCTTTGCTTAAATGTGAATGAACTGGAAACAGGCCAGTCACAAAGTTCAGCACTGTCATGAGACAAAGCATTTTAATTCCAAGTATTTAAATCTGCTGAAGTATCAGCTGACCTCAGTTATTGCTCTCGTACGTTGCAGACAATCACTGAAACCGAGGCATTACTTGGGTGTCCTCTGGCAATTGCCTTATTCTGAAACCAGAGCAAACAGCAAAGGTAAGCAAGGGTATTTGTGTACTCTTCATATTTGTGTAACGACAGCCTACGAATTCCCACTGCTTTTAATTCCTTCAGCATTACTGAGCTCTTTGGAGTAACTAACGTTATCCACCACAGAGGGAACTGAAGCACCTCTCCCCCTTCCTAGAGCCATGCCACTTGCAGACAGAAACAGAGTATTTACCCAGGAGGCAAGAACACTCCTCGCTGCTCCCTGATGAGGGCAGAAAAGCTAAAAGAGCTTTATTCCCATTTGGGCAAGGAGAGAACACAACCTCTCACAGAGCTTACTGCTCACATTACCCAAGGCCTCCTCACAGTGGTCTTTTCTTCAGCAAACATACCACCTCTGGCCATTCTTTACATGCTACATCAGAAGGCTGAGCAGAACTTCCCATTTACCGTCACGGGTAAAACACCAGTTACAGAACGGCCTGGAGAACTGTAAATTCAAACCAGTACAAAGCGCATCACTCCTCCGATCCTGCAGGGACTGCTCCAAAGGTAAGGTACATAACTGTGTAGTGCTGACGCTGCTCTGAAAGCGGAGGGAAATCCTGCCAAAGTTTCCAGAACACACTGGGTCAACATGTTTTTAAAAGCAGCTGAGATTTCATTAGCTTGCTTTTCTTGAACTTCAGTGAAGACATTCCATCAAAACCATGAATGGAACAAGAGGAGAATAGGGTAGAGATGAAGCAGTTTGTAATTTTGCATTATCACTGTTAGATTTCAGTATTAAAAATGCCAGAACAAGAGGTGGAATAACAGGACAACAGACACCGTCTGTGGGCAGAACATGTGGATTCCCTGAACAAGTTCCTTGCCTCTGCATAAAGATCAGCAAAGAAAAGATGTGCTATTTGATTCACAGAAGGAAAACCAAAAAAGTCTCACAGAAGTTTTGCATGCAGGGTGAAGATGTCAAGTCATAACAAAGCCAAACCTAGACCACGCAGTTCAGAGCCAACGCAGAATATCCCAATCCACTAGGAGATACCACATTCGAAGCACAACATGCAAGTGTGACAACACAATATGCACTAAGTAACTTCCACAAGAAATTCCACTGGGAACTTGTGACCTGCAAGACTGTTTCTGGTGTAAGTACTATGGTGTCGGGAAGGAGCAAGTTTCCTGCAGGACATGAAAAAAAACATGCTCGAAATAGCTACATGAAAGCTGGGACTGTGCCACTTGCTTATTGCAGCACCAGAGTTCTAGCACCAGAAGAGAACATGATCCCTGGCAGCAGCCCCGCTTCCAGAGGCCACAGGAGAAAGCTGTGAGCACAATGGATTAACAGGTTTTTCAAGCACATCAGGCTCTAATTTGTCCTCTTATACTCCTTACCTCCACCCCAGTCCTTGCTGCTTTGTTCCACATTTCTTCCCCAAAGAAAGGCTTCTGGTTTCTCAGCTGCTGCGAGGCACACACGTCTCCCACAGGCAGCTAAGGGAACAGAAGGAAAATGACATGGGAGCTCAACAAGCAGCAGGGGCTCTAGCATTTTTATACTATTCAGTGTTAGGTTATAGAAGTGCTTCTGCACCCCCACAAAGGAGCACAGACAGACAGCGGAAGGGAGAAGCCCTTTGGGTTAATACCCTGCTGGGATGCTCCCAGGCCCATCACAGGAGTCACCAGCCCATCAAAGGCCCATCTTTGCAAGTCCAGAGGAGCACAGTTGCAGGCAGGAAGCCAAATTAAGGACTCCGGGGAAGGGACACTCTGTCCAGTTCCCTCCCAGGGCTGTCCCAGGACAGTTTTAACCCCCATCGTCCAGGCATTAAACCCATTAAGATGAGTCATTGGGAGCAACTCTCTAGATCCTTTCAGACTAAGGGGCAATTGCTTTTCCAGGGCATGGGACACCTTATGGGATGCAGGGGGAGAGCACTTTGAAGCTTCACAATCTAAATTAAACTGTCAAAACTCAGATGAATGTCTCAAAAAAAAAAATTGACTATTAGAGCAGGAAGCAGCAGCATTCTTGGGGAGTCAGAACTAAACCAGTGCACAGGTCAGGAATGGTAACGGTGCTTTTTTTTTTTGATAAAACATACAGTTGTGGCAAGTAGCTCACTCAAGAGTTTAACACACATTGTCTTAGGGCACCTATCACAAGACCCATATTAACCAAACTCCCAGATAAGCACTCAGCCTTTGAAAGCACAGCTGTACTTATCCATATACTACTACACTACTGAAGACATCTTTATTTCGTTCTCAGAAGTGGTTCATCCAGAGTTCTATAGTCGTGTCATTAAAACAGTCGTGCTATTTGGATACCATTTTGCTCTTGTTTTCAATCAAACTGGAATGCCAGGTTGTGAGAACACATTAGCATTTGCTTTCCAAACACAGCAACATTTCAACCCAGAGGCAAGACTGCGAAGAGATTCTAGAAAGTCTCTTCCACCAGGTAGAGAAGTTTTCGGCAGTTCTGTGCCTCTGCTCTTCCGAAGCCCTGCAACACTAGCTTTCCTCTAGCCACGCAGCTACAGCAAGCTTCCTCTCTCCTACCAACGATGTGAAAACAATCCCTGAACCAGGCACACAACCTGCAAGCTGAACGTATCCAAAGGCAGTTTTTCCATGCCAAAGTGCATCGTCAGTTTGAACAAGCTGCAGTAAATCTTCACAACCTGTAATTCTTCTCAATATACAATGCAAAGAGAAGTGTGACACATGCCTCTCCATTTTCCATATATTACAGGAAATGACCAGTTATAAGCAGCCTTTACAGGTTGAGAACGCACTTCCACCCTGCATCAGGTACTGCTCCCAGGTTAAGGCACTACACCCCAGTTATAAGCAGCCTTTACAGGTTGGGAATGCACTTCCACCCTGCATCAGGTACCGCTCCCAGGTTAAGGCACTACACCTGTTACAAATGCCACTGCTAGTCCTGAATGGATTTTGAACTACATTCGAGAGTCATTTAGATCACCATCTATGCATCTAAACATAAGGATCAACCCTAAAATACTATCAATACAGAAATTCCACACCATAATACTAAATATTTCTCAAGATGTATTTGAAATCAATGCTGTTTGCAATTCATACAGAAACACAGGACTAATATTAAAGAAATTCCTCAACCTTATCAGTTGATTTATATTAGTTTTATTATAAAATAAATACAAACCAAAGTGTTTTTACAGAAATGTATAGAAAAATCCAGTGTTGAGTTGAAGGGGCCACCTAGAAGTTTTAGAATAGCATTGACAGAGAAGTCTGTTTCAGAGAAAAAAGAATACAGCAAGAACCTTAAGGACGCCTTCTGGTCAAGGTTGTACAGAGGAATCTGGAAGGCCAGCTATCCTCAGGTAAACAGGCCTGTGCTTATTCACAAATTTCTTCAGTATCCGAAACCTTTTCACCTGAGCTTTGCAGCCTTGGTGGGACACAGATTTAAAGTACTTGCAATCTAAGCAAAAGAACAAAAAAAAGACATTTTAAGTTACACCATGATTCGAGCAAATACAAAATGCTTTTCACTGTTTAAACAGCATGCAAACATCTAAAAGTTTTCACTAATGAGAGGTAATGAAATAATTCAGGGCATGCACATTAGAGTCATAACTGCAGCATTAAACAATCTATCCTCATTTGACCCAGAAAGCATTCTACATATATAAAACTGCACGTTGTGTCTTGCAAAATATATTCTTACCTCTTATTTTTACTTCTCAAATAGACTAGAGAGTAAAATTTCAAGAGTGTAAAGCAGCACCAACTCCATACATTAACTTATTGTGTCAGGTAAAGAGAATAGAGGCTCATCACCACCAATAAGCACTGACACCATTAAAGAAAATATGAGCTGGAACAATTTTATTAGCCATCTGGAAATAAAAGCTGACAGACATTTGATAACATATTACTAAAAGCAAAATAGACTTTGAGTATGAGAAATTGTTTTATGAAGGCCAGAAAATTAAAAAATTACAGAAAAGCTGACAACAAACAAGCTACCTATAAACCAAAAGTCCAAACTAGGGTATGAGCCACGGTCTCCACACCACATACTCAGTCTCAATTTCGCAGCTGCTTCTTGGCCCACTTGGTTCTGGCAACACTTCGAAGAATGCTACTGAGGAGGTCATTATCCTCACCTTCTTACCTAACTGACAATGGTTTTCACTCAAGACACCCCCCTGCCCCTCTTTCCTGCATTACACCACCTCCACAGTCCTTAATGGCCAGAGCTCCCCAGTATTTGCCCAGACACCGCCTAGGCAGACATCCAGCAAGCCAACTCTCCCCAGTCCTCACAAGATTCACTCAGGAGAGTGCTGTGCATTTCTGAAGTTGTGGTCTGAAGGTTAAACAACAAGATAAATAGTATTGTGACTGCTCAACAAGGCCAGATAAAACAGAATTCTAAACCAGGATAAGATAAGTTATGCACAATACGCCTCACTGTCAAATACCAAACCAATTTAAACATTTTTCTCCTGTTCAGTTTCAAAGAG